ATTTTATGACTGACAGACAACAACGGTTTGACTGAAAAATGTCAAAATTGAAAATACTGTGGAAACAAAGACACATCTTGGATGCCCTTGAGGTAAGCTAAAACATATCAAAAATTAATTTCAAAGTGAACTATCCCTTTAATGACATCTCAGTTAAAGCTTTTCAAACAGTCATTTCAATGTGTTATCAATACTTTAGTTGTGTTTAGATCATGAAGGAAAGATTATATTTATGATGAGTATAAGTGCTTGGGGAAACTCTTATTTTGATGTGTTCAAGTCCTCCTGGGAAGTTCATATTTATGAGTTGGGAAGTCATAATTGACACACTTTGGTTGGCGCAAGATGGCAATGTACCAATTCTAAAAAACGCCAAAAAAAAAGCAAGATTTTTTTCTCTACTTCAATATTTCTTTCAAAATTATGAGGAATGCACATCAGTGTATTTAATCGTTATTTATGGTTATCATAATTATCGTATTTTAAATAAGTGGCTTATAAATGAAAAAAAAACTAATTTACCATCAATACACACTGCATCTGTTGCATTCGCCATATTTTCTCACTGACACGCCCCCAACTCAGAAACTTCCACTTGCAATTATATTAAATTTGCGTAATTTAAATTATGCGGTTGGTGTTCCTGTGGATTCAACTCAAAAATACAATCTTTCCGACATTTCTTTTAGACCGGATTTTACAATTCGAAGTCATGTCAGTGAGAAAATATTATGGTTGTGACTTGCGATGAATGATGCATGTGTATTCATGGTAAATTTATTAAAATGAATGAAATTATTCATTTTTATCAACAATAAAACTAGCTATGTTGCATGAACACAATATAATAGTATTGCACAATTATACAACAATTCAGTTTACAGCGTCTCATAAATTAAACAGAAACATTCTTAATCCATCATTTTCTAGAAGTATAGTTCAAAAAATCATGCTGTATTTTTTGTAGAAAAAGGTACATCACCATCTTGCTCCGACCAAAGTGATTTGCACGCACCATTTGATTATCCACCACTAAACTCAAGCAAAAAGGTGATTAGCTGTAAAGATTCGGGGGTGCCTACAGTCAAAAGGTATGCAAACACGCACCACCGCCTTTAATCAAGAAAATAATCTTTAAGGGCCTAATATAATCTCTTTGTTCAAGTTTTAATTAGACATGTGAAGTCAGGAGGACTTGGACGCAAGTTAGTGCGTAATGCTGACTGTGCTGCATCATAAATTCCCATATCAGTGTGTGCTGACTCACAAAGAGATTTCTATCTGCTTATGGCCACCCAGCTCCAGACTGATCGCTCTCCAAAATTCTTCCACCTCCACTAAAGTTTATGGGCTTAAAAATGTGCAGCATACTGTGTTTCCTCCAAGACACAAGACTTCGTGGAGTCTGTTAGGAGATCAAAGTATTTTTAGCCGTTCTGCTAATCCACAGAACATGATCTTTCTCTCTCTAATAACTTGGAATTCTTCTCATTCCTGTTGGTGTCTGGCAGAGGAAAACTCAGGAGGCTTCAAACCCACACTGTCAGAGAAATGGAGAGCTATACGGCCGAGGCCAGTGTTTGACTTGGCTCCTGCAAGGGAGACACTGCAACACCCCGCCTGCCATCTGGCTAAACCGGGCTTTTAAGAATAGAGTACTGAGAAACACAAGAACACCATCACTGTTTTTCTGACAGGACTGTAAAACTCAACACACGTTCTCTTGCACCTGCAAGTCATTTCACAACACGGCTGAAAAAGATGCCATTAAAAATACTTGTTTAATAATCAGCTCTGGAATGTATTACGGTCTCCAAGGCTAATTTTTTTGCTGGTGACATATTATCCATCAAGTTTTTCAGTGAGGATTTATGGCAGGTTTTGTTGGAATTCTCGCTGTTATTTTAGACATTTAGTCCAAGCCAAGTAATCACATAGGACAAAAATAACTTCTCATGAACTGTAGCTACTAGTTAAGAATATTTAATATATTATTAAAAAAAATTGTTTAGATCATTGAGATACTCCTCCACAGTATATTTTTTATATTGCTTATGGAAATAATATCAAATATACTGTATTTAAGGTTTTTTTTTTGCCTTGTTATGCTAAATGTCATGATGAATATTTATTTTTATTTAGAAATTGTGCATAATTCGTGTGTGGTAATATTAATGATCATTATGAAAAATATTATTATTGTAGTTTATTATTATTTATTTGTTCTATGCCAGAGATTCTCTGCCAAGGCAGGCTCCAGCATCCCATGGAATGATTATTATTATTAATATTTTTTAAATCATTCATTAAACTATACAATTATGACAGGTCCAAACAGGACAGGACTTTTCTGCAAGCAATATACAATAATGCTATTTATTACATTGAAAAACAGTAAATCAAAAAAAATCCACCAAAAAATAACTATTAGACTTATGACAGTATTTTAACTGAGGGCAAATCTCAAATTGTGCCCATTGATTGAGTAAAGGTCTAATTTGTCTGAAACTTTGTTTATAGATTGTGTTACCTAGAAGTCTGATTTGGTTATATCTGTGACAAACAGACGTCATACTCCTTTTCCAGAAACTCTTCAGCTGGTAAGTTCACATGGAGGATTTCCCGTCTTTTCCTCGCAGCTCACTCAGAGGTTATCGGGCAAGTAAATGAGTGTGCCTTTGCATGAACTCTCTCACGTCATTCACATAAGAACAGGATAGAAGTCTATCGCCTGTTATTTCCTTGTTCTCCAGCAGCTCTTGCTGATCCTTTGGCCTGGTGTACTGACCAGCATGCCACATCATTCAATGAGCACTTATGGAAGACGTGTCTGACTTTCAAAAAATTTTTTTAAGAATGCTTCAAACTTATTTGTTAATTAAGACAATAGCTGGGATTCTTACAACAGACCTTTGAGTATGGACTGCAATAGCGCCTCTCTATGGTTAAATCCAGACATTTTTTCCCTTATTTAAATTACAATAAATACAATTTCCAAACATTCTCTTGCTCACTTTCTTGAGAAAACTGAAAGGTTGGTCAGATGATCAGATAAACAACTCTTTTTAACAATACTGAAATACTATTAGTCAGTTGTAGGCTTTCAGACCCCCCATCCCCCAACAAAAATGTGCCCCTGTCTCTCATTCTTATAGTTTACTATTTATATATCATTGTGCACTGTAAATACGCTACTATATTTCCATAAAACATGGAAACCCAACATGTGTTAGTATTATATTTTAGTATCCACCTGCAAATACATTGTGTATTTGTATTGGTGTGTACATTGCAGCAGCTGCAGCATATGAAACTGATCTTTCTGAGATGTATAATATTTCATGTTACGTGTGTCACACAGCGTGGGGAGTTGGTAAATAGTGCTGAGGCAGAACAGGAACATTCTAAAGAGACGTGTATTGGAACACAGTGTACAAATGTGTGAGTTTGCGTCCGTGCATGTGTGTGTGTGTGTGTGTGTGAGAGAGAGAGAGAGTGATATAGACTTTCAAAGTTGTTTTAGTGAGATATCTAACCTCAACTCCCTAGACAAACACTGTAGTTTTCAAAATAAAAAATAACACTCGTCACATTGTGTGCCCGTTGATTCGGCCACACAAACATACAAATCTCAACTGTGGGGAAAATAGTGGGTGGACAGAGGTTCAGTAAACAGAAACGTCAGATAAGGACAATGCTTATGAAGCTACATTATAATTTCCTTGTTTCTCTTCTTGTTGTTTCCATGATTTGAAGAGCATCACACCATCAACAGCAAGGACAGATGGTTGGAATACAGTAACCAATAAGAAAAACATCTCCCTGTGACGTAAAAAGACAGAAATAAAGATGTGTTTGTTTGTATTCATGAATCAAACATATTTATCTAATCTATGTAGATGTTATAAGCAAAATGAACAGGTTGTCACAGTGTTACATTTTTATGTGAACAGCAACATAGGCTAGTTGTTGGGGGTTTATGTTAACTTGCAATCATTTTTATACAAGTTAAGCATATAGCTAGTTTATTGTAGTGATAAACCATACTTTAAGATTGAAATTTTGACACATGCTGCTGCAATGGTTGCATAGGTGCGCTGGAACAATCCTTCATAAAATCATTCTTTAGTTTACAAAGACGTGAAACTCACCGAGTGGTCTGGGGGTGTTTACTGCTTACACAAAAATCGTAGGAAAATATGCTTTCTAGCAGGTTTTATTGTAGTTTTTGTCCACATCAAGTCAATGGAGTTGGACAAAACTACAATAAAACCAAATTTCAATCTTAACTGTTACATTTCATCAGAAACTATCTTAAAGTGTAAAAAACCGAACTTGTCCTTTAAGCTTCGAAGTTATCTTCTGAGGGCATTGCATAGAAAAGCAAGCAGCAAATAGGCCTATATGTTGTATGAAAAGATCCAGATCTCACAATGATATCTTTATCTTGCAATAAAACGGTCACATCTGTTCCACAATTATCTTTCAGCAAGGTAGTCACAGGCTATGACCCCATTTCTCTTCCCTCACACTAATTTATTAACAGACTCTCCATTTAATAGCAGCTTTTCAGTAAAGGTCAATGTGTCATCTTTGCTGTAAATGCATAGAATACCACCTGAGCCTATGATGTGCGCGCAAACACTTAAGGGGGAGGGGGGGAGCACATCTGAAATGTGTGAGACCGTTTATCATGTAAAACCTTAACGCGACAGAGACCTCTGGTGGAACGTTTTGGTATATTCGTCTAAAAGTATTAATGAAAGTGTTGAGAAACATTGATATTATAATATATGATAAATCCCTAAAGTTCCACAAGTAATAGTACTACCGTCCATAATATTATATGGAGAAGCAAGAAATGGTGAATGTGCTAGTTTTGTTTTTAGTTTTACGCACTTCAATCCATGCAACGTGTTGCGAGAGAGAATTGCACACACTTCTGATTGGCTATGATTTGTGACATATTGTGTCGCGTTCATAGACTGTGGTCGCGTTCCGTCTTTCGTAGTGTTTATGCGCGGAGATGAACTAATTGAATATATTTTGGCCATATATAGCCTGCCTAGACTAATTATAGTGTATCTGACAAGTATTTACAAGTTTCTGTATGTTTCAGCTGCTGCGAAAGTGAAAGTAGCCTATAGCGGAGAAGTTGGTTTGCGCAAACAAAAGTTCAAGTCGTTTCCAGTTCTTGCTGTGTGAATTGCACAGGGAATTTTGGTAAGGTCTCTTCGGTCGCCATTGTGATGAACTCTGTTTCACTGATCATCCAGATGTCTTGACAGCAATCACTTTCATGTAAATGAAAGTCAGAATTTCTAATCTATCTGAGCTATCATTCATTATACATGTGAGGCAGCAAAATAAAAACATTTTTCAAAAGTAGCCTATAGCAATACTGTCATGTGGAATACATGTGTTAGAAATGTATTTTAGCTATCAAATACAACAGATGATAGGTAGGCCTTATATTATTCGCAATGAATTCACATTCAACAGTGAATTTCACATTTGCAAAGGAAACAACAGCACTTCCTCTTGCATCTTTTGTGCTTTGAAACATAATATGATATTGAGGAACTGATACAAGTCTTGGTTTTCTTTATAGGACAAACTATGATAATAAAAATAAAGGACTTCAGACATTTAAATATCATGCATAAGCTGTTGTTTTTACACTGTTCAACACTGTTGACCAATCTTTTTTAGATGGCGACATTTGAAGATTACTGTATAATAACTCCGGAGGACCTGGAGGATATTAAAGATTCCATATCTACTCAGGATCTCCCATCAGCAATAAACACAATCAAAGAATACCTCAAACAGCAAGATCTTGTAGAACTTAACATCGGTGTGACGGGAGAGTCAGGTTCTGGAAAGTCCACTTTTGTCAATGCATTCAGGGGTTTAGGAGATGAAGATGAAGGCTCTGCTGAAACTGGCCCAGTAGAAACCACTATGGAGTCTAAAGATTACCTTCACCCCAAATACAAAAATGTGAAGGTGTGGGATCTTCCTGGCATTGGAACACCGAACTTCAAAGCCGACGAGTATCTTAAACTGGTTCAGTTTGAACGCTATGATTTTTTCATCATCATTGCATCGGATCGGTTCAGAGAATGCCACACTCAGCTGGCCAAAGAGATCATGAGAATGGGGAAAAAGTTTTATTTTGTTCGTTCCAAGATTGACTCTTGCATTACTGCTGAGAAAAGGAAGAAGAACTTCGACCAGAAAAAGACGCTGGATACCATCCGAAAAGATTGTGAAAATGGTTAGTTTATTCAGTTCACATTACAATGTTTTGAGCAATATGTTTTTCTCATGTAAAAACAATATTTTTTAAATTACACTAATAATAATTTATTACCCTATATTATTTATTCATTTATGATTCTAAAATATACAATAATATATTTAATAAAATATTTCATGATGCCCTTTCCTGTTTCCATGTAGGTCTAAGAAAGATCGGTATAGAGGATCCTGTCGTGTTCCTGATCTCTGGTTGGGAGCTCGGCAAGTATGATTTAAATCAGTTGCAGGAGAGGATGGAGAAAGAGCTCCCGCAGCATAAGAGACGTGTGCTGATGTTGGCTTTGCCGAATATTACACTGGAGATTAATGAGAAAAAGAAGAAAGCGCTGGAGGAAAACATTGGAAAAGTTGCTTTCCTGTCTGCTTTTATAGCTGTCATTCCTCTTCCTGGACTTTCGGTCACTGCAGATATAGCCATCATAGCAGACGAGCTGAGAAAGTACTACAATGTGTTTGGTCTGGATGATCCATCCCTTCAGAAGCTTTGTGAAAGATTTGGGAAAACCTTAGAGGAATTGAAGAGTCTGATGAAGTCTCCTCTGCATCAAGGAATAAACACAAGTTCAATATTAACCTTGCTGGGCGCTGCGTCTCTTCTTATATCAGAAGATGCTGTTGAGTTACTTGTGAGCTTTCTTCCTATTATTGGCAGTTTGGTGGCAGGAGGATTGTCTTATCTGACTGTCTCAAGAATGCTGAAGAGAGCTCTGAATGACATCGCTGATGATGCTAGGAACGTTCTGATGGCTTCACTGGAGACTGAAGTGTAAGTGACAAGAACGTTCAACAGCATTTAGAACTTATTGCTATTGGGGTATTTATAGACAAAAACATTTATGACATTTAATGCAAAATCTAATAGACATTTATGATATAGATTTCACATTTACAGTTACTTTTACCCAAAGCAACTTACCTTTGAGGTAAAATACAGACATGTGCAATGTATAAGATTTTGTTAATGTTTACCTTTGGAGAAATAACTTTTGTTTGCAAATATATCATTTTGTGTCTTTCCTACTTGATAGATTGCTCTTCTTTCTAATTTACTCTCCATAATAAGAGCATCACAACCCTGCCACTACTACTCGTGACTACATTACATCAAAAACATTTATAACTTTGTGATAAGTTGCTGGTTGTGGCTTGGCTTATCAACGGACTCCTCCAAACCTGCACTGTAAAAAAGAAAAAAATGTGTTCAATTTACGGTAAAATACCGGCAGCTGTGGTTGCCAGAACTTTACCGTATAAAATACGGTTGCAAGACTTTACGGTAACAAGGTTTTACAGACTTAACATAAATTACAGAAATAAACCATATTTAATTATCTGATATAATATTAAATTATCAACCAAATGAAGTATCAATATCTGTTTTATACCGTTGTTATACACTGACAACCAACAATCACAGAAGTGGAGAGTCACATGATATATGGAAGCTCAAAATGCAGTTTTTCCACTAAACATTTAATATTATTATATAGAAGCTGCAGTGTCATTCACACAAACATTAAACACCATCATGGTAACACACATGAAATTTTAAAAAGGCAATAAACATTTATAACGTCACACAAAACCCATGTGTACATAACTGATTAAAAAAAGAAAGCAAATGAAGAAACAAGTTATTTCAACATAAATACATCAAATGTGAAGTTTCACACAGGGAATTGTGGGAATGTCAATTTACGGGTTTTCACTGTAAATTATACACTGAGTTTTTCATTTTCACTTTAAAAACTGTAAATTTAATGGTATTTTACAGTAAAAGTACATGTAATATACCATTAGATCTATCACAGTTATTTACCGTATATTGCAAGGAAACGTTCTGTTAACCAATTAACAGTTTTTCACTGTAGCATTTTTACCGTTAAAATCACAGTCATTTTTTACGGAGTGGTGAAAGATACAGAGATCATTCATGCAGATTCAGACATCCAGTTTTCTGTCTTTGTTGTTACCACTGAACATAATGTGTTGAACATCTGCATCTGGGTTCAAACTTAAATGGAATAACTTAAGAAGCTCAATTGCATCCCAAAATTTTGAAATAGGGTAAAAGTACCATGGGCCAGATAAAGCTGAAGTGTCAACATTTGCAACATCGGCTTTTTAAACTATTGCCATTGTGTAACAACTGCCATTAATCAACTGATATTGTAGTTTGTTGAAGTGGGATGTTTTGTTTGTTGCTGGGTGAGTCCAAAATAAAGATTTGCATGAGTGTATTTGGATGCAAATGTCAAATGTTCTTAACATCTCTCATTACCACTGTGAAAACATCTTACCTTTTGAGACTACCTTCAAACCTGGGTGTGTACAATCACTCTCGGGTTATTTTGAGGTAGTGCCTGCGTTTGACAAAAGTCCTGACACTCTTTATTCACATTGTACTGCTTTAAATGTTACATAACATGTTCGAATACTCTGTCAAACTCCAATCAGCCTAATAATAACTTTAAATAAAGTTATTTATTTATAATTATTTATCAAGGAGTAATTTTTCTTAGTTTTTTCTTATTGTTCATGCTATGATCTTGTGTATTTGTAAATACTTACATCACAATAAATTCATTGTTTCAGGAAACAAACAAGAAGGTCAGTGCAGCTCTGAATAAACATGCTTGAAAATATAAACATGCTCAGTGAAGACAGAAAAAGGAAAAGGAAAAAAGGGAAGTTAAAAAATATGGTTACATTAAATCAAAAAAGATTACAAAACTAACTTTTAGCATTTCAACCACTTTCCTACACTTACTTTGCCCTTCGAAGTGGTGCTTTAACTCGGATTAAAAATATTTTTGAAAAAATATCATTTAAGGGCTAAAAAGATTTGGTGAATGTTCTATGTCATGTGATTTCATGAGAATTTGCTTGTATTGTACACCAAATGGGGTTCAACCAATCATTTCCATAGATCCCGAAACACAATATTGACAGGTTACTGACACAGCATCTAAAATGAATATCATTTACATATGAACAACTTCAGTGATCTACAAACGTTTATGAATCTTTAGTGAATCTATACTCAGTTGGGTGTTTCAGGTGTATTTATAATAAATCAAATTAATTATATTATTTTCCAATGCCATCATATTGAACTTACAGTTACTTGATTTGAAATGATCACATTTCACTGTGACTTTTTGTGCCATATATTCAACTCTTATATTTATATGAGTTTTTTTTTAAAGGTTGTTGTAAGGTTTTTATTTTAATCTTTGTTTTTATTATTACTATTATTATTATTTTTTGTGCCTACAGTTTCTGTTCCCGGTCTTTAGTTTTTCTGTAGATTTGTTGACATTTAGCCATTGTAAAACAACAGATAAACATCAATTATCGTGCACTGCAATCACAACCAACATTATCTCTAGTGTTGGGAAAGTTCACTTCACAAATTTTAAAATGAACTAGTTCAGTCCATAGTTTATACTTCTCCATTTTGACCTATACTTCTCCACAAGTTTATACTTCTCCATTTTGACCTAAGTTCACAAGTTCCAAAAAATGAACTAGTTCTTTTTTTCCATATGTTTATATTATAATTGCCACAACCATACAGCAATTATTTTATTGGCGGGCAAAGTTTGCATAGAAATTTAAGATTTTTCCCATCCCATTTCCTTATAAAACTCGTTTAAATGACCATATACGAGGCCTCCTCGATGCTTTGTCAAACTGTCATTCAATGAACGTGTTCAGAACACTGATTATCTCACTATTTAGACTGCTTAAATGGGTCTATGAACACCCCTCTGTGTTAAAGTGCATATTTCAACACATGGATAAATATTTATTTTTCTATGGTGATGTGCAGTGAAAGTGAAAGTATTTTTGGGAGGATGTCGCTCTGTTTTATAACCAGCAGCCTATAAAAGGTCTGCACAATAACAGGCATCATTTCAGATCTGCTGTCAGTGTCTTCTTGCTGTGTGGATTGTTCAGAAGATTTTGGTAAGAAAAATGTTTATAGAACTTGAAAAAATGTATCTTGTATACATTTATTAGTCTCCTTCAATGCTTATGTCAACTTATTTTAGAAGCTTTTTTAGCTATCAAATGTTACATCGAAAATGCCTGTTAAATCAATAAGGCTTTTTATTATAAGAGTAGGCTACTTCATGTATTCATTTGCAGTGATTGGATATTTCAAACTTTTCTTTAACAGCGAATTTCACGTTGGTGAAGGAAACAACAGCTCCTCTATTCTTAGTCTAACTTCCTGTCTCGTGCTCTGAAACATAAAGGTAAGATTGAAAAGATAAAAGGGGGTCTGTGTAATACTTTACAGTTCAGTTTTTAGACATACAGTTTTTCAAAAATGATTAAACATAAAATCTATGTTCATAGATTAAATGGAACCTATGGCTCCATTTGTCAAAACTACACACAAAAAAACTATTTTAACTCTTCTAAAAATTTTGTGAAGTATAGCTACTCTACACACAAACATTAAATGATTCCCCACATACACGAATAACCACACATGTGAAAAATATAAAATGATTTGCTTGTTCAGTGTGCAGAAAGTAAGTTTACATGGAGTTTGTCACGTAGCCTACATGGATGTGCACAAAACGATTGTATATACGGAATGTATTGAACCTTACCATGGGCGTAGGAAGCAAAAAAAAAAAAATGTGGGTGGGTCACAGGGGCGGTTCTACAGGGGGGCAAGGGGGGGCAGGTGCCCCCCCACTCTAGAGCCTTGCCCCCCCAGCTGCCCCCCTAACTTTGATGATCCAAAAAAATGTACTTGTAAAAATAACCTGCCACTCCACACGCTTCTCAAAATAGTGAAATAAACAATACATTTACCAAAAGTGAACAATTTAATTTTGTCATTTTAAATGTAGCCTATTATTAGCCCCTCCCCCTGATTCAACGTGCAGCAGAGCGGCGTTCGCTCAGTCTGGCTCTCTCACGCACTCACACACTCTGCTGTGGGGCGGTGGAGTGGCCCTGCAACCCGACTGGAGAGACTGAGCTGCCCCAGAGCCTCTGAAGGTGAAGTGAGTTTCCCCAGGTGTAGTTTAAACACACGTTTAACTTAGTTACATTTGTAATGAATGTATTGTATGCTAAAGACGATTCAGGATCAGCAAAAACAGCGAGTCTATTACATTAGCCAAAATCATCGGTCAAATCGCTCCCTCGTGATCTTTAAGAGCACTCTTCCCTTTGATTATCTAATTTCGATTTTAGTAAAGACAAGAACAGCTTAATAAAATATAAAATATTGTTTGTATCCATAACGTTAACTGATGATCTCCGCTGTTACGTTACAACACACATCGCCAGTTAGGAGAACGATCATTTGATTCGCTTTTCGGTTGCGCGCCTAAATGGCCAAATGAATACATAAATATATCAAAATGCCAAGTCGAGTATTCACGTAAACACAGTAGAAGTAGCTACTGTGTAACTGTAAGTAGGCTACTGTAAGTATGAGAAACTATGCTCAGTTGATAACTCACCTCATTGTGAAAGCCCTTCACAATTAATATTGAAACATTGTTTGCTAAATATTTGTTTGTTTTTAGTTGTCTATGGACCTAATAATTAGCCTAATACTGTTGAAATTTCATTGAAAAAAGCATGTCTTTAATAATATTATTATATACACTACTAAGATTTTTTATGTTTTTAAAAGAAGTCTCCTGGGCTCACCAAGGCTGCAATTATTTGATAAAAAATACAAAAAAAACAGTAATATTGTGAAAAATATTATTACAATTTAAAACAGCAGTTTTCTATGTGAATATATAGTGAAGTGTAATTTATTCCTGTGTTCAAAGCTGAATTTACAGCATCAGTCTGCAGTGTCACATTATAATATGATGCTCAAGAAACATTTATGATTATTATCCATGTTGAAAACTGTTTTTTACATTTTTATTTCAGGATTCTTTGATGAATAGAAAGTTCAAAAGAACAGAATTGATCTGAAATGGAAAGCTTTTGTAACATTAATCTCAAAGTTTGGGGTCAGTAAGAATTTATTTTT